TCGGTCAGAAAGATGGCTTAGTGTTAAGACGCTCACTTTTATGGCCTTCCTTTGCAAAAATGTCTTTGAGGATGTTCAGCTTTCAAAATAAATTTTCCCCACTTCTAGAAAAATATATTGCCCTACACTGTATAACAAAATACATGCTATTACCAGCTGTTTGTTTGTTTCTGAATTTCGCAACAAAACTACACGAGGGCTATCTGCGCTAGCCGTCTCTAATTTAGCAGTGTAAGACTAGAAGGAAGGCAGATAGTCATCAACACACACGCCAACTCTTGGGCTACTCTTTTACCAACGAACAGTGGGATTGAGCGTCACATTATAACGCCCCACGGCTGAAAGGGCGAGCATGTTTGGTGTGACGGGGATTCGAACCCGCAACCCGCAGGTTGCCAGTCGAGCTCCCTGACCACTTGGTCATGCCGGGCCATTACCGGGTGAAAACTACAGTTTCGAGAATGTCAGCTGTCATCAGCTAGGTCGTTCATTCTATTGAACAATGCCTTATACACCATAAGATGAGCAAGAATAAAATGTATATGTATAAGTTAAAATTTACATCAAGTTATCTCAAATGCGCTGCTATGTTATAATCTGTTTGTAAAGATATGAAATTATATGGGCTTAGATTATACGTAACGCAGATACCGAGGATTTTGCCATTAATTTGATAAAATTTAAAACAATATTCTTTATTTTTAACAGCTTTAACAGCTGATCTTGTACCCTAGTATATTTAGTTGCTTAACATCAACAACTGAAAAATATAGATATAATTTAGATTCAGTCATTTACCCTAATCTACTAAAAGTGGATTGTTTGCTAACTTCTGTCAACTCTGTGACAGATTGCTGTCGGAAAAGCTCGAACTAAATCTTCTTTTTTTTTTGGAACTTAAACAACCTCAAGTAGCTCACTGTGTAGGTTTTTGCTTAACAATAAACAAACAAGTACTTTGCAAATATGTATTAACATTAGATAAAACACTTTATCGTTTGAATACTGAGTACATGCGTTATTTAACAGCAATTTTTCTATAGTGTTCAATAACACATATTTCTAAAATAAGTTAGATTAACAAGATTATCTTTCACATTACTAAAACCCTAAAGTGACTGGTTTGTGAGCCACTTAAAAGAGGATTTTTTTTTTTACAATTAAAGGTGAGAAAAGACAACTTTTTAATGTTATGTTAATGCTGTTACTTCTCAATGTTGAGCAGTTTTAGATTATGATGGATTCTTTCACAATCAAGTTAACTTTTTTATCATTTCTTCCTGAAGCAGTACCTCTTTTATCCTTTCGTTGTTTTTTAGTAAGCAATTCTACATAAAATAATTTTGTGGGGAGAATTTTTTTTTATTAAATAATAGAGAAATCCGTGACTTTCTACTCCAAGACACCACTAATACAATTTAATTCAAATCACAATTGATTAACTTCTTCAGGATAACGCTTCATACTACAAGACAAGTTTGTAGCAAACAGACGTTACTGTCTCGCCTAGTTCAATAATAGACAAGAGGCTAGCCACTTGCGTACGTTCACAGTCTACAAAAAATTCTTACTCGACGCATGAATAAAATCACATATTTCCAGTTCCTTTTATCATTAAATGTTTAATTTTTCTGAAATTAAGGATCAAACGGATTGAAAAGTTAGTTTACAACACTACTGAAACATCGAGAATAAGAAAGTTTGTGAAGATAATAAGTTCTGTAAACTGAACATTATACTGAAGCGTGTTCGAATTTACAAATAAACGAAAACTTACCGAAACGAAGGATCTCACGCAAACTATCAATTATTGACTATAATCAATGTATTTCTAATTAAATATGTTTAATTTTGTAAAGTAACCGAGATAATTGAATTTTGGCAACATTCTAAATAAAGACGGTATCACGTTTGTGAAAATATATCAACGTTTTTATACTTGCATTATATTAGTAAGAATATAATTTAATTACAGTATGGGCCATAGAAAACGCCCTATGTTGTAATTTTGCGACTTTTTCGTGTGAAATGTTTACGTCACCAAGTTTAAGCTCTTTGAACATTTACGATATTAGAGCAATTAAGTAATTATGAAGAAAATTGTATTTTGTTACTCGAAGCTCCTTTTTCCTTTGGAATAAAGAATTATCTCAAATCAAATCAAATATTTTAAACAAGTTTTGATTTTCAAAGTAAAAAAATGCATGGGTCTGTTATGTAACTTTTAAATTCTAAATTTTTAAATTCACATATCCAAAGTTTATGAAATAATAAGTGTTGTTAGTAAGAGCTTATCTAATTAATTCACTATATATATCTTTTGATTAATATTGTCAAAAAGTATTTTATAAACTTGATGATAGCATTAAAACATTTATTTGATGTTATAAATGCATTAAAAAAGGCTTGCTATTGGTTGTTTGAAGAATATTTAATTCGCTGTTATCCATTTTATATCATTATAGGAGTGAAAATAACTTCAAACTCTGTTTATTGTATCTTATGCCTTATCTAAAAAAGAAGGCATAATAAAAAATCGATAAAAACTTCATCCCTTTAAAATTCTATTGTAATTTCTTTCGAGCCAAATATGTTATTTGTATAATAGAGAATATTATTCTTAAATTTCAAATCAATATAAAACTGAAAAGTTGCTTAACTATCTATTTCTGCAAAAGTTCTAGCTTTGGTTTTCTGAACACTGTGTGAATTTGGTCTTAAGTAATGATATTAGCAATTCCCATGAAGGCTGTAAAGTTTCAATAAACCCATAGATTAATATAGTAATTTATTTATTCGCGTTTTATTATTTTGTGTTTAGTTGCTGTAAGTTACTTTTTGATTACAGAAGTGTAAGCATTCAGATGTTATAAGTCAAGGTACAGCAATGGAATGTTTTTTGTTGTGTTAGACCGTTAATGCTCCTTCAGTTATGAATGTCACTAGTGTGCTAGGAACTTCTAAACATTTCTACTGCTTCGTTAACCAGGTTGTTAGTCCGTGAAATAATGCTACTGAAGTATTCTCAGAGTACAAATGTTCAAAGAAGACATTGAACAAAGTTAAAAATGTTGTGAGTTTGATTCCTTCGTAATGACCATCCTCGCCAATGAAAAATTGCCTCTACAATCAAGACTTGGTAGATTAACAACATAATGTCAATTTTAAGCTAAAAAAATAAATAAAACGGAAATTATTACCTTATAGCACTAAAGATAAAATAAAGCGCAAAGTTAAACTTCTAATTTATTTTCAAACCGGATATCATAGTTCTTTTGCATATATGTTAGGCAGAGTCTTTATAATGAACAAAGATGAAATGGGCAGCAACTGTTTACTTCAGCATGACACTTGTGTAGAATGCCTTGGAGAATTAATTTAATGTTACTTCTGTAGATTAGTCCTCCAAGGCATTCTGTTTATTATTTTCCATAATTTTGCTGAAATCCTAGAGAGTTAGCAATTGCCTAATTTATACTAGTAGTATTTAATTTTGGAAAACTGTGCACTTGTAAAGTTCTTGGTATGAATGGGTGAAGACGTACACTATTATCTGTATGCAGGATTTGATAGTGACTCTTTTATATGTTACATACATATATGAAATACGTTTATCGGAATGTCATGAGCTTGAAATACTCACCTGTATAGTGAAATATATTTGTCTTAGAACAGTGTTTGGGAAAAAGTAATTATTTTAATGGAACATAATTGAAATGACATAATATTCATAGCAGCATCCAGCTGTTCATTTTCATATCGATTCTTAAACCACTCAATGGTTTAATTCTTAATCTTTAAATAAATAAATCTGTTTCTTAACGAAACATAATTCTCGAATCCAAAGTTAAATTTATTTATATGCTACACTAAAAGAAATCCATGAACCTGAGGATTGAGGTGATTTTAGACATGCTGGTGGTCACAGTTAGTTTTTAGTAGCGCTTGTTGGGTTTAAAAATATACATAGAGAAGAACTGAAAATTGAATGTGACATTTACCATAATAGGTCTGGAGTGTCATATTAGCGATCAGAGTTTTACAAGTGCTCAGAGATATTCAATTCCAGAATAAGCATTAATGGGCAGTACTAACGTTGTAATAAGAAATGAATGACTTCGCCCAGGAAATTAAACAAAAAACAAACATCAATTGTGAAGTTCACTTGAATCATTTTATTAATCTAAAGAGAACTGAAACTAAATATATGTATACAAAATTACACTCTAACCAAATATCATCCTCAACTCCCAAACTGCAAGTATGTAGCCTTAGTTTATTCCTTTTTATTTACATTTATGACTTGATATGTGCTATTATGGACCATATACAAGTTCAGATTAGTAGACATGATACATTTGGTGTTATAAAATAATTACTTACTATTGCAACTACACCAGCATTCTGCGTAAAAGAATGAAGTAATTTCCAGTTCGCGACATACTAATGTTATAACGTCACATAGCATTAAATAGTTAAAATGAAATGTTTTATTATAGTTCTGAGCGGAAGACAAAATTTTAATCTCGAAGAGTGGGAAATAAATTATGATTAAAACAAGATGGTATCGGGATGTTTCGTAAAAGCGTTCTAGCAAACCATGAGTTACGATTGAAACATAACTGCTTGTCACAAAAATACACAAAATATATTATTTAACTATACATTGCTAATGACGTGCTACCTTACACGTTTTCTGAGCTGTAAAATGTAGCTTGACCAAAGTTAATATTACGCTTTACTTACCTTTTTACAGTATTTTATAATGCGATTAAATGAAACAGTTTTGCCATAGCGTAACATGATGCAAGTTAGTGAAACAAGACTGAGCAGATTATTTTTTTCAGTAGACTCTTGTAATGTTTTACGGATTTTACTTTCTGCTAGATTCTTTAGACAAAGATAAGACACTGAGCTGAAATCTTGGGACTAAATCTTTTTTATAACAAATGGATTTCCTTGTGTGCAAAAATATAGAAACAAATAATTGGAAAACTTACCGTACATATAAGTAACGATGAAATGCACCCGATTGCTCCACTCAAATGGTTCCATCACGGTCGGTCCTGTAATATAAAACTCAAAGTTACATGGTATGATATTGAAATACACAGATTCCAACTATTTTCTAACAAACTATAATATCTTGGGTTATTTTAGAAGGAAAATCTATGTTATTTGGTACTGTAAACTTTAAAAGAATATCGGATCTCAATACACATGAATGATAGTATATATGTGTGTATATAATATACAAAATCATTGATATAAACTTCCGATTGAAGGTAAGAAATAGAGTATAATCTATATATTAACCATCCTATACCTCTATTCTCATACATTCGGTGTCAACAAATCCTTTCGCTCAATTCTAAGTCTCTTTAGGCTTGCTGATTTGGATAAGACAAATGTAACACTGTTTTTGATTTCGTGTTTTTATGTTATTTCATTCCAGTCTCAGTAAGAAAACTGGATTTCTTTCCGTTTTTTTTTTCACTCGGGATCAGCTTTTCCGCCTATAAGACACCATTTCCAATGATTTTTAATGGTTTTTTATGACAATTTTCGATTTTGAAAAGGCTTTCAACTGGTCTGGCATCGTGATTTGATCTTGAAACTGCGATTTTATATTATACCAATTTTTTATGTTCGACTTATCAGTTCATTCCTTATGAAACGTCATCTCTATCCATGGAACATTCTCTAGACTCTTTGTCCTGTATGCAGGTGTTCTACATTTCTAGTTTTCTCACCTCAGCTCCTTATCCTGTATATCTCAGTTACACCACAGCCTTCATGTTCTGTTCAGGTTTTTCAGTATGTTGATAATACTGCCATAGTGTTTTCCAGCTCGACTATAATCATCTTAAATGGCACTAGAACGCCCTTGCACTCCTTCTGGCCTTCAAAATACAGCAACTCAGTCCAATCCAGGAGTTGTTTGATCGCATAACATTTTCTAACATCCTTCATCATCTTCAGAAGCCTCGTATCAATATATGACACGATGATTCCTGACTTGCTAACTTGCAAAACTTTTATGTTCATCCTCTACTAAAACAGCTTCCTCCAGCTGAACATCTCTTCATCATCTTCAGAAGCCTCGTATCAATATATGACACGATGATTCCTGACTTGCTAACTTGCAAAACTTTTATGTCCATCCTCTACTAAAACAGCTTCCTCCAGCTGAACATCTCTTCAACTTGCATTAGATGTCTCTTCCGGTAAGTGATCAGTACATGTTGCTTAACTTATGAAAAAATAAACCTGCCTCCGTATACTTATCGTATCGGAATATTTTTTTTACTTTTCTCATATCTCGATTCTGAATTAGACGTGTCTTTAAATAAAAACTCCTATTTCAATACTGAGCTAACGTGTCAGTGCAAGTTTAAAATATCTTCAATTAATGTGTTCAACGCTTGAATATATCACTTTGTTTTATTTCCTAGTAACTTGATGTATATATTCAAAAGAAATATGAAATCCAATCTATATTTTGGCTCATCACTTGTTACTGAACTGTACCTCTTTCAAGAAATCTCGCCCATCGTGAGTAAAGTTGTACAACGGCAAATGGAATGTGTTTCCTTTGTCACTTCATTCCAGTGCAATAGGGCTGGTTGGTGGGCCAGAAGAGTTTTAAGCCCGAGAGAGATTCAGCTACAGAGAATAGTGGGCATGGATAATAGATGAGCAGGTGTAAATACTACTGTATGGAAAAGGATTCTAAAATTGAAATTGAGTGATATGAAATTAAGTTTATCACTGCTCAACACTTTAGTTAATCAGTTGTGAAAGAACACATGATATGCTTCTCCAGTTAGTATGTTCTTTTTCTCTGACCTTAAAAGAGGCTATTAACATTAGTTAGTTATGAATATTTTCTTTCAAAATATGCACCTTTGCAAAATATATAACAGTGAATAACACCAAAAGCCAAATAATTGCAGCTTATTTCCTGTTAACAAATCTCCGTATATATAAGCTTCTTTCAAATGATTAATGTAACATACATTTGCATAAACCGACTTTCATAAGTTAAGTTTTGATAAACATGCCATGAAGTATCGTCGTAATCACAAAGAATCTTAATCATAATTCGGTGATATAATGGTTAAAATACGTTCATTGATAATATTATTTTAGATTATTTTCACAGCTATGTTCTATTAAAAGTAAAGGTACAAAAAATATAAGAATGACACATAAAACGCTTAAATTTCGTTCATCGATGCCCAAAATAATGATAAATATATCATATGATGTTTATATAATTATGTTTTTTAGTTACTATCAAATGTTTTAACCCACTGCATTGCAGTAACATCATCCTGCTGTACTTGATAAAAATGAAAGCGGAAAAATTTATATAAAGCAATTTGAAAGCTAAAAAAGATAAGTTTATTTTACTTAGTAAAAGCTTTTCCTTGCTTTTACTGATTCAATTCAATAAATATTTCAATGCAATGTACTGCTTTCTTATGTAATTAAATATTTTTTGACTTGCAGGTTACTTCTCTTTTCATTTAATCCAGGCAGCTTCTTTTGAATAAAATATAATCCACCGCAAAAGTAATAGTATAATGGATAGTAACTTGAAAAAAAATCTTTAAGTCTCTGAAGTATAATTGAAGATATCTAGACTGAACCTATATTGAGACGCATATTAAGTTTAAAACAAGCAACGGGCGAATACGTAAATAAAGGGATCATATTTCTAAAAAAAAGCATGAAACCTGAAAACAAAAAGGAATTTAAACGGATCATGTTTTCCGTTATGTTATGCTGTAAGAAAGATAAAAAAATATATACATTTAAACCTTAAGTAATGTGCCTGGAGTTTTGGAGAATTATTTTATCAATATACTTCACGAAAACTTTTTCTGTGTTGCCCTTTCTCTCACGAATACCAAATTTTGTCAGTGTAAATCCTTTTTCATTTACGCAAATAGACAAAGTCTGGAGTCAATATGTATTACATGAATAGTTTATGAGCAAGTACTCAGAATTGACTATCATAATTCTTCCGTTTATGCTTTCAGAATTATATGAAGCCACACCCTTCAATTAAGACAATATTCAAAAGACATCTATCTATATATATATATATATATATAGT